TTTTAATTTTAATAATAAACTTAAATTTTGTAATATTTAAAAATAATTAAACTTTTATTAATATAATTTTGAAGCATAATTAAGTCGGTGATTTATAAATAATTAATTTATATAAAAGTTTAAAATAGTATAATTCATAAAACAATTATATTTCGTTAAATATGAAATTAAAAATTCGTAAAAGTTTATATTAAATTCATAAATGTAATTAATTTTTACATTATATCACAGATCATTTTATAATTGAGACCCTGATGAAAATAAAATGTCACAACATTTACTTAAATTGGCTGATAATCACTTGTATCGGTACAGAAGCCAAAGGGACGGTACAGTGAGTTACGAATAAAGCCATAAAACTTGTGCCAACCCGGGTCACCGTACATGGTCATTGCGATCAGTACCGCACTAACCATGCTAATACTGTTTATTACACCAAGCGCAAATATGTAATTCTATAAAATAAGAATATTGGTTTTATATTTAGTTAATTTAATAATTTTAAATTTATGTATAATGTATACAAACATCATATGGATTGAGAAAACACAAACAAATAGCCGTCACTTGTAATGGGAATAAAATGAAAACTCCGCACGAAATCTATGAGATTAATGAGATATTACTAATATCATATTAGTGTAATAAATATAAATAGTGCATGATTGATATTATTTTAATTATCACAATAAATGGTAGTGTATAATTTAGGTGATGTACTTTACACTCGCACTAAATTTACTTCACTGTAGGTGTAATTTATTTAATATGATTTTGTTTATTTGATACGCAATGTGTGAGCACTTACACAACAACATAGATTAATGTTTACGGTGAACATGCCTAGAAAATACTGGCACAGCATCACAAAGCCGCACATGGCAGATAGTATTGGTGCCCATAGGTCATCATGGTGATATCTTAACTCCAATATGCCCATACATATTAGCGGTATGGCTGAGCCCTATTGTATTAGTAAATAATTAATGTTGGTGATAGTTATTAAATATATATAATTAGATATGCTTGGTGAAAATACCTACAATCCATATAACATTTAAACCAAGTCTGATTCGCTCTAGAAACATCACAATGATTAATTATGTATTTAAAATAACTAGATTTAAAAACAATTAATTTAAATGTCGACCAATAAGTCTGTTATTTCATTCGTCAATAGAAATAATGGCATTCATTATCAGTTAATTAAACAAAAAGCCTATTTTGATAGCAATGCAAACAATATTGTGAATGATAATGAATTACATTTACATTTAATGTTATCATGAACAATATTACTGAATTGAAATAATAGTAATAAACAAAGTATTTTAATTAAATAATATTTTAATTAATGTTGTTTATTCTAACGTAAATAATTTTTAATTATAAATCCGGCTGTTTATTTATTATGATTAATTTCTTGTTTGTAATCACGTGAGTTAATATAATCATGTTAAAATGTATACTAAAGTCATCGATCAATACAGTTGTATTTGTTAATAATAAAATATTATTATTAAATTATTTGTAATTATAAAAATTACCGGCTGAATAAAACTATGAGTAATTTAAAATGTATTTTTAAAATTGATTTTTTAAAAATGTGTACATGTATTTATGTTGCAAAATAATTAATAATATTGACCATTGATTTTGATATTAATTAATAGGATATATCTTAATAATAAAAGTTTTAAATAAAATATTTTTTGATATTTATATGCAATATCACTAAATATATAAATTAAATTGTTTATAATGTAATTAACAACTATTTTATTGTGTTTGAGAGAGAGAGAGAGAGAGAGAGAGAGAGAGATTCTCAATATAAAACATACCTGGGTTTACTTTTTGCAGCAACTGCAATTGCACTTGCCGGCGCACTTGCATGTACCACAACCATCGCACTGTTTCATCTTGTTTATAGTGTTTGCCGTTAGGAACAACCGTCAAAAATGTCAAATTATTTAATCGTTACGCAAAACCAAACTTTGATTGATTTAAATATGGTTACTGTCGCTCCTTATATACCCGGTGTTGGTGTAGCGGTTGAGGCAGTTTGTCAAGTGTCGGGTGCAAAGTATTTGGCGAACGTGCGCAAAAATTTATTTTGTTTACTGTTTATGATTTTTATCGAGTTACACTGCGAGATCAAAATTATTATGCCATGGTGAACCCAAGGTGTTTCTAAAGTAAAAATTATTTTAGTAAATTCTATCGAGTTAGAAATAAATAGCGATTTAATTATTTTATTATTTAGTACCATTCTATTTTAAGTACATTTATAAAAATTTATAAATAATCTAGATAAATTTTATTAATTATTTAGCTATTTTTTATTTGGCAACCTATGGTTATACTCATATGTTTTATGATAGCCTCATGACATGACAACTGAAACGTTGTGACAATTAAGCAATTTTTGTGAGAATAACAATAATCGCATAGAATTACTAAAAAATAACATGATTATATTATACAATTCATGGACAGTAGTATAATATGATAACTGGTTTATAGTTCATAAATTATTTTATTTACAATGATAGTTTATGTATAATAGATTTAATTATACTAATTGTGTAACATAATTTGTGTTGGCAATGAACAGCTATTAACTAGTTATCATGTTTATAAATATGAGATTAATATCACGTGAAATTAATGTATGAATGTTATTATAACA